GTCTTTGATTTTGGTTAAGGTAGATTATCATTTACAGTGTAATCAGTGAGGGGATTCTGCAGACTGTTGAGGGTTCAGCCTCCTGATGAGTCGGTGAAACTCCGACGAAATAGTTTGCCACAGCCCCTCGTTTATTGTCCTCTTCTCTCTCTCTGCCTACGGTTTACCGGGCAGTTCTGTTTGTGACGATATATTGCTGTCGTCTGGACGGATTGTTATGACCTGCTATGCTGGATATAGAGTATTTGACCCACGTGGTATTTGTTTTGTCCTGAAATGTGTCGAGCAGACGTTAGCAGCAGCCGCCAGCCAGCTGACACTAGGTGATGGGGGACTGCAGTAATGTTTTTCGTGCTCGGCGTGTTTATGGAAAATGAGAAGGGACTGCAGTAAAGTTTTTCGTGCTCGGCGTGTCTTTGCGCTGACCTTTTTTTTTTTTTTTTTTTTTTGGATTTCAGCTGTTTGAATAGTCTTTGAAATAATTCAGGCGAGTTAGCGTTTGGCGGTCTGGAGAAAACGGAAGGGCGACAATGTGTTTCAGCCCTATCCGTTGTGACTATCGATTTACCGGCCTAAGAGGAGGCAGATTTCTCCGTTCCTCTCTCCTGTCTCTCCTGTCTCTCCTCTCTCCTCTCTCCGTTGTGACTGTCGATTTCTCCGTTCCTCTCTCCTACCTCTGCTCTCTTATTCTGTCCTCTCCTCTCTCCCCTTTTCTCCTCTCTTCTCTCCTCTTCTCTCCTCTCTTCTCTCTGCTCTCTGTCCTTTCTCTCTCCTCTCTCTCCTCTCTCTCTCTCCTCTCTCTCTCTCCTCTCTCCATGAGTCTGCTCTGTGCGTCGCACCGGATATATCAATTTATCCCTTTTTACCCTCGGCTCGGTGGATGTACTTGTGTTTGGTCCTTTTTGTTCTCATCTCGCAGCCGTTCGTTAACTCGTTCGGCATGTTGCTACTTTATATATACAGTATAATATTCATAAATGGTTCCGTGCGAAAAATAAAACGCTTATGCATTTTTTTCTCTCCTGTATTTACAGTAGTTGTTAAATAGTTCTGTTAAAAAGAAACTCTAAATACAGTATTACGGAATGTACGTGTACTCTGTTAACTTTATCTTCTTGTGCATTATTTCGTTGTGAATATGTTTTGGTTGGTGTTGAATAACGATTCGGCAGACCGTCCGTCGCGCGATCGATGGCGCTGTTCTTTGTATATCGGTTGTGAGTGGTGTTGGGACGATTACCCCCGGCCCCCCCCCCCCCTTCTTTAATATTGCCACGATGTTAATGTATGGAGATTAATTAGTGAATGAATACGTATTTTCGTCGGCTCTGTGCAGCTATAGATGCACCGGGAGGGTTCCTGTTCGAATGGTGGTCCGTGTTTTGGGACATCTTCATTGCAAGGACGAACGAGAAACACTCCGATGTGGCGCACTCTTACCTCGAGGTAAGGGGGTAAGAAAGTTTTGTTGCACGCAGTAAATAACGGCGGGTAAGAAAGTGGGAAATTTAAGAGAAGGCGGAAAAAAACCATTGATTATTATAATTATTAAAGGGGAAAAAAACGGTGAAGCGGTGAACAGGAGGAGAGAAGTGGTGAATGCAGAGGAGGAATGGTTAAGAGAAGTCGGTAAATAATTTCAAATAAACCATTTATTATTATATTTATTTGCTTAAGTGAAGAGCAGAAGAGGACGAGACTTGGGAGGAGGACCTGTGAAGAAGACGGAAAACGAGAGGGAGAGACTGGGAAGTAGACGGAGGACCTGTGAAGAAGACGGAAAACGAGAGGGAGAGACTGGGAAGGAGACACGGAGGACCTGTGAAGTAGACGGAAAACGTTTGAAGAGGATTATAGTCTGAGTAGCTGTGAAGAGGACGAGAGGAGCTGAGAAGAAGAATATATATTTTTGATTGCAAAAGGCTGGAACTTTAGTGGTTGTCCTGCGTTCCTTTTGTTTTTTATTTAAAAAAACAAATCCTCCCTCGTTTCTCTTTAGACTTCCAGTCTTCCTCTCTCTCTCTCTCTGTTTTTTATTTTTTTAAATAAATTCTTCACATGCGTCAAATGTTGTTCCATGGTCCTGAGGCTCTTGTTTTTTTGTACGCAAATGTGTTTTTGTTATTTGACGGAGGGAATCTCATTTTCCATTTGTTTTTTTTTTTTTCTTCGCCCGTTTTGTCGCGTGTTTCACAACCCGCGGGTGCATATGCTTGTTACCCCTTCATCGGTCTCTCGACTTTCTTTTTTTTTTTTTTTTTTGTCTCTCTACTTTCCGTCGCAGCCGTTTGATTTTTCTCTGTTCCTCCGGCTTTGTTATTTCGAATTTTCGTGTTCCGTCTCTTCTCTTGGTTGTCTCAAGTATCCTGTCGGCGGTTTGTTTACCGTGACGGTGCTATTTCCTTCCCCCTCCCCCCCCCCCCCCCCAAAAAAAAAAAAAAAAAAAGTCAAGTTGGAATAGGAGCATGGCCCCTTCTTTCGCAAGAGGATGTCACGTTGCTTTTTTCTCCCCTCCTCTCAGCTCAGAATGCATTCTCCCCTCCCGACTCTTCGCCGTCGTTCTCTCTTCTCCTTCTTGTCCCCCATTCCTTTCTTTTCTCTGCCTGCCTTTCCCTTTTGTATTCCTAGTGCGTTTCCCTTCCGTCCCCCCCGGCCCAAAATCTCCTCCCCCTCCTTATGTGGGGTGGTTGCCCGTTTGTACTCTCTCTCTCTCTCTCTCTCTCTCTCCCCTCGTTCTCTCTCGTTTCTATTATTCTGTCTTTGGGGGGGTTCCCATTCTGCGCGTTTTTTTGTCGAATGACCTTTTCTGTTTTTGTTTGAGGTCGCTTCGTCGAATGGTTTTCTCTCTCGGAGCTTTCATCAGCTGTCCTTTTTATTTCATGCGCTCTCTCTCTCGCGCGTTTCCAAGTGTTGGTGAGCTCTTCCTGTACATCGATGGGCGTGCTGAGTTTAAGGAACACGTTGATTTTTGGAATATCGTTCGTCGTGTGCGTGAGCAAGTGTCGGCCATCGGTTCTTCTTCTTCTTCTTCTTCTTCTTCTTCTTCTTCTGTCCATCGATACTTCTCTCGAGCTGGGTTGCGATTCTTTCCCCCTCCTCTCTGTTTACTCGTAAGGTGAGATTGTCCTACGCGCCTGAACCAGTCGTTATTCTTCTTTGGAAGCATAATAATGAAATATGAAATATCTAAAGATTGTGCACAGACAAATGACACCGTCTTGTATATTGGGTCGGCTGGCACGTCACTGGTGTTGAAGAGAAAAACAGCGATGGACGCAACTCGTGTCTTTTCCAGTTGTAAGTAAAGATAGATGGAAGAACGAATTTTCTGTAGCAGTTTTTTATTCAGACACTGAGCAGCGATGAAGTAGAAAACCGACTCTTGAACGCGGTAGCAGTGGAGAAGCAGATTCCGATAGTCGCTGGTAGCAGCAGCTTCAAGCGAGCGAAGCGAACGGTGTCCCCGAACGCCGGACGTGTATACGGACTACATACCGAACACGAAAGAAGTGGGGTAGGGGGTCGACGGGGGGCCACACTCACGTACCGGCCCATGTGCTTTTCGCGGAGAAGGGAAATTGGAAGAAACGCACGCGGCCAGAGACTCAGCCGCTTCTTTTGGGCGAACTTGCATTCAGAAAAAAAATTGAGAGTAAAGATTTCTTTCACGCGAGAATGCGATCCTGATCACGCGGGAGGGTTTCCCTCGCGTACCAATTTTATTCCTGGCTGTAACTGGGATCGGACAAAATAGTTTATCCTCTGATGACTCTCTCTTTGGACAAAATAGTCAAGTACTCTCTCCCTCTCTCCCTCTCTCCGTCTCTCTCCCTCTCTCCTTCTCTCCCTCTCAGTTTATTTGTGAGATCACACAAGCAAAAAATCGCTAGTTCATTCTTCTCTCCTTTTCGTTTTCACCCCCCCTCTTCTCGGCTAGTCTCTCCTTCACCACTTGCATCTTTGGTTCCTTATCGGGGTTTTGACGACTCTCTTTTCGGAGAAATAGTATTCTCTCACTCTTTTCTCTCTTTCTCTTTTTCTCTCTTTGTCTCTCCCTCTTTCCCTCCCTCCCACTCTCCGTCGGAGCGGTCAGGAAAAGATAAAGAAAAGGAGCGGGTAGAAAAAGAAACAGAAGAGGAAAGAGGAGCTATGTGAACCCGGCGAGTCTGTCGAGAAAATCCCGATATAGGGAACAAAAGATGCAAGTGGTGAGGGGGAGAGTTGCGGAGAAGAGGGGGTTGGAAAGGTAAAGGAGAGAAGAACGAGCTAGCGAATTGTTTGACCGTGTGATTTCATAAATGAACTGGGAAGCCAGGGGAGGGACTGTAGATGGTGGTGGATGATACGTAATTCTATTCGTTACGAGGTTGTATGTCTATTTATGTAGATAAATAGATAGATAGATAGATAGATAGTAGATAGATAGATGCTCATTATGGCTAGAGAGAAGGAGATCATCAAGCCATACGCGTGGTGAACTGATTGAGCGTGCGCATACATATTGTCACAAAATGTGTGTATTACTATTCATTCAGGAGAGCGAATGTGGGAGGGCGAGGAGATGGCTGCGTTTGAATGGAAGAATGACTTCGTGTGCTTGGTAATGGGTGGGGGATTGAAACGAATCTGATGAACGGAGGAACTGAAGCGAAACGAGGGATTGGATGGGAACGGAAGAAAAAAGGAGTGGAAATAGATGACCGGAGGGCTCTTGATGTCAACCACAGAAAACCGGTCGACTTGAGTCGACGACGGAGCGAGCGAACGTATACATAAATGAAGCGGATGATGATTGTGAATTATGTTGCGTTGTTAGTGATTGATTTTTGTCGATGAAATGGTTCGAGTAGAGGAGTGAACGAAGTGAATGAACTACCTCACTGCATGAATTACCCCCACCGCCCGACTGACCGAATGTACGGGGTTGACTGACCGAATGAATTAACCTCGCTCACTGGGTGAGTGGGCGGCATGGAATGGATTTTGCCCCGCGGATCCATGGATTATTACCTAACGGAGTGAGTTTTGTCCCACGCTGCGGGGAAAAAACGAACCAGCCGCCGGAATCGTGTGTTATGAATCGCTGCGGGGAAAAAACGAACCAGCCGCCGGAATCGGCGACGAACGAGTGGCCGATGAATGGCGAAGAGGATGAGTGGATGAAATGAGCAAAACGAGCGGATGAGTGGGCAGAATGAATGTGTGAATGGCACGAGCGAATGGATGACAGCGAGAACAGATGAGCTGGGAAGGATGGAATGGTGCGTGGGAGTCGTAATGTGAAGAGCGGTTCTCGACAAAGAACTTCAATGGGGGCGTTTCATGTCAATAGTGTGCTGTTCTGCATGCGGAGATGTAATCCACAGTGTCGGAAAGTTAGGTGGTGTCGCAAGGCGATTTTGGGAGAAGTCCCCTGAGGAGTGCCATGAGCGCAGCCTGGGCCCAAAAAAACGCGTCGGGTGGAATTTGCGCATTTCTACTGAGAACTGTGCATGCGGAGATGAAATGTTTATCTGTTAAAAGCAGTCTATGGCCACTGTTTTCACTATTCTTCTTCTTCGCTTTCTCTTCATCTTCGTCTTCTGCTTTTATCCAGTTGAAGAAGCCGTCGGTTTGATGTAGGAGATCGGTAATTTTGTTCACTCGTGTCCTCCTTCCCTGTTGTGCTCTCTCTCTCTCTCTCTCTCTCTCTCCCCCCTAGTTTTCAGTAAGCTGCGCGTCTGCTTATCGTTTTTTTGCGTTTTGTTTGTTGTTTTGGGGGCCATCGTGTGCTGACCAGCTCGTTTGTCGATGTTTGTGTTTTGGTGGTGGGTTCAGACGCAGCAGCTGAAGGCGAGAGAACAGGCACAGCAACAGCAGCAGCAAGCGCAGCAGCAAGCGCAGCAGCAAGCACAGCAGGCTCAGCAGCAGGCGCAGCAGCAGCAAGCTCAGCAGCAGCAGCAGGCGCAGCAACAACAAGCTCAGCAGCAGCAGCAGGCCCATCAGCTGCAGCAGCATGCACAGCTGCAGCAGATGCTGCACTTGAGGCAACTACAACATAGGAGGGAGCTGGCAGCTGCTGCGGCTAACGGGGGGGGACCGAACGGAATAGGCGGGACGACGGATAACTTGCTGAGGCCTTCGGCTACGGCGCTGGCGACGAAGCTTTATGAGGATCGACTGAAGTCTGGGAGGGCAGAGGGTCTGGCACTCGATGAGCCGACGTTGAAGGTGAGTGATTGCGTTCGCGTTTTTTTTTTGCTCTTTTGCATTTGCTTGTGTGCATTTGTTTGCAGTGGTTTTGCTGTTCTTTGTTTTTTGTTTTTTGTTTTCGTGTCGTTCTCTTGTGTGTGCGTGTGTGTGTGCGCGCGCGCCAGCGCGTAGCAGTGGTGGTGTTCAATTTCTTTTGCCCTGGATATGCGGACAGCTCTTTTCCCGCGTAGTTTTGATAGAGTCCACTGTGAAGTGGCGGTGGGGGGAGAGGGTGGAGATGCCACTTTTTTCGCGTCAAACTTTGGGAAAGGGGCGCTAGTTTTTTCCCGCCAAAATTTCCGAGGGATTGGGAAAGGGGCACTAGTTTTTTTCCCGCCAAAATGTCCGAGGGATTGGGAAAGGGGCGCTGTTTTTTTTTTTTCCCGCCAAAATGTCCGACGGATTTGGGCAAACGCCCTCATTGCATGCAAAAAACCTCGTTCCCGCCGAACTCTTCTCGTCCGGGTTTTCCTTCGCGTGTCGGTTTTCGTCGAAAGGTCTCAATGGAGCAAAATAAATAAATAAATAAATAAATAAATAATAAAAAACTGTGTTGGAGCGTCGAATTCTCGACTGACTGAACTGCTGAGGTACTCCGGTGTGCTGTGGCGACGACATTAGGTAGACGGAGGAGAGGTGCTGAGCCAGTTTTTTTTTGCCGTTCTTCCCCTCGACGGGACTGGCAAACGACCCAGTCGTATTTATTTATTGTGACCTATGAGGAAGCCTTCTTCCATTGACACCTTCCTGATATAATGTCTCTTGATGTTTACTTCGTCGATGACAAGGTCTGGCGCTTTTCTGCCGAAGTTTTCGTCCACCTCTCTTCCTCTCCCCCCCACCCGGCGATGTTTCCACATTTTTTCCACATTGCACTGACAATGAAGGATGTCATTGTCTCGCGATGTTTCCACATTGCGCTGGCATTGAGGGATGTCATTGTCTCGTGATGTTTCCACATTGCGTTGAAAACAGTTTTAAGACTTCGTGTTTCGTGAAGATATAGGGTCTGTATAGGGAGACGGTGATTCACGTTTGTCGGAGGGTAGAGTTGTTGGCGAGATGAAGATGTAGGGCCCTGTATAGGGAAACGGGAGTCGGTGATTCACGTTTGTTGGAGGAGCCGCTGACTTTTTGGGGACCCGTAGAGGGCTCTGTTTGGGATGGTTGTTGACTTTTTGATTGCCGGGTTTGCCCAGCCGAAGGAGAAGTGGAAAACGGATAATGGGCGTCCGAATAGGTGAGAGAGAGAGGGAGACTGAAAGAGAAAACGCGAGCCACAAGTGAAAAGAGAGGAGGTCGGGAAAGGAAAGAGGAGTTTGGATTGAAAACGTGGTCGTCAAGCGATTTCAAATTCCGATCGAAAAAGGCAGACCGTTCGAGGAAAATTCCGATCCGATAAGGAAGACCGTTCGAGGAAGGACGTTGAGCGATCGTCATTCGGAGGAAATTTTGCTGACCGTTCGAGGAAGACCGTCTCTTTGTCTCCCTGATTTCTCCCACCTTTCTTTTCTTCTTAATGGGCTTGAGAACAGTCTCCGCTGTCGATTGATAAGGGTATATTCGATTCGGGCGACGAATGGACAGGAATTGGAAATCTATGTACCTCTGTTTGTAGTTTTGATTGTTAATTACCAACAATAATTATTAATTTCTGACGTGTGTGGACGGAGATGAATGATAGACGTGTACACGTGGGAGCCTCTGTTTGTAGTTTTGATTGTTAATTACCAACAATAATTATTAATTTCTGACGCGTGGGAGGTCTCTATTCCATTCGATTCAGGTAGATAGGAGACGGAGAGAGACAGGGAGATTCACGGGAGGAGATGGAATGTGACGCTAGGGTGGGCAAGTTGGGTTTTCGAACCTATGCCGTTTTTAATCGGGGAAAACAAGATTACGTGAGTCAGTTCTTCGAAATGTGACAGGGCTGGTTACACCACGCATGTCAGGGCTGGTATGGATACACAGGATCACGAGTTGAAAGATCCTGATGGATACACAGGATCAAAGATGGAATTTATGGGCAAGAAAGTCAGAGGATCTACATGGCTGAATGGCGTATACATGTAACTATAGATGGATACACAGGTCATGAGCTCAGATTCTGATGGAATCAGATTGATGCAAGGAGGTCAGAGGCTCTACTCCATTCAAAAAAAAAAAAAACCCCGAAGGAAATGGAAAACGATTCAACTTGCCGCCCGTAAAGTATTATATGTATATACTGTACATGGCAAGGCGCTCGTTATGCTGTTGCTATATAATTGTTCTGAAGGGAAAGTTCGACGAATGCCATTTTCACATCCTGGAGCAGGGCCTCCACTTTTGGGTGATGCTCTCTATGTGCTTAGTACCGTGCAGTAGATTTCGGCGGTGTCTTGTTAATCTCTCTTGTTCTCTATGGTATCACGCATTCTTGGAGCTGGTGTCAGAGCGCTGAGCGAATGCACATGCATATGTGCTGTGCTGAGCGAATGCACATGCATACATGCTGTGCGTGTGTCGGGGTGATGACTACATATGGAGAGAATGCACATGGATACGTATGTGTGTGTGTGTGTGTGTGTGTGTGAGAGAGAGAGAGAGAGAGAGAGAGAGAGAGAGAGAGAGCTGGCACGGTTGTGTTGTCTGTCTCGCTCGATGAAAAGAGTTCCGCAGAGATCTCTTGGAGTGCGGCAATGTGAGTTCGACATAATTGATTGATCGACTGGGCTAAGAATCAGGCCACTGTTACTTAGTATGACAATTTTGACTTTTCGACCGAGTCTGGATTTTGTGGCTTTCGGTTTTGGTTTAGGGAACTCCTATGTGAGTATGCGTAGTGTGAGATATTCTCGAGGCAGACTGGAGATGGAAGTGTAATAGAAAACTACGCCGCCCGACCACGAACTGAGAAGGAAAAGGGAAATAAAAATAAAATCAGAAATAAAATCAGAAGTACGTCATAGTGGGTGGTGGGCTCTTTATCTTCGCCGTATGATTTGTGTTGGTGGTATTAGATCCATTGTTTTGAACGAGTTGGACCTTTCCGAGTGCAAATGTGGAGGAGAAATTCATCAGGGCGTTTCTTTTTTCTTTCTTTTTTCTTATGGATTGATGGAAACATTGTTAAGTTTGACTGACTTCTATCAGTTGGTTGGTTGGTTCATTTCCAATTTGATTTATCTGTTTGAGCACCCCGTTATTACTGTAATAATTTGACTGCAGTGCTGTAATTTGACTGCTTATCCTCGTTTGTTGAGGATAGTTTCTGGTTGCCCACGAAACTTTGCCTTGTTTGCATGCAGCACGTAGGCCATGCGTGCGTGCTCACTCATGGCCGTACGGTCCAAGCTATCTGTTCTCAACAGGGTGCACACTGAGGCAACGAAAATGTACCTGGCAATGTGAGTGTAGGATTGCTGAGCCATTTAGCCATTTGGAACTGATGGGGGAGGGCCGCGAGCATCTTTAGTGATGGGCTTGATTTCATCGGTGTGGGCCACGAGCATCATTAGTGATGGGCCTCTTTTTATCGGCATGGACGAAGAGGCTTGGGATCATGGGGTGAGCTGGGTGGGGTCAACGATGAGGTGGTTAATGCCATCAGATTAGCCAAACTTATTTGTTGTTGGTGCATCGGACTCGCCATGCCTTAGACTATCGTTTGTTTCCACTGCCCTTCCGAACCTAGTGCCAAGGTGTATTATGAGTCCTTCCCTCTACCCACTGCCCTTCCCACTGCCCTTCCCACTGCCCTTCCCACTGCCTTTTCCCACTGCCTTAGACTATCGTTTGTTTCCACTGCCCTTCTCACTGCTTTTTCCCAACAGTGTTTATGGACTTTCCTCTGAGGCTTCTGGAGGCTGTGATGGTGGGAGGATACTTACCTTGCCTGACAATTCTTTTATAGGTCTATATATGGCTATTCGTTGATGTGGACCAGAAATCCCTTCATGACTGTAAGCCGTCGAGGGTTCTTGGCTGTGGGAATCATCTTTCAAGGGACGTAAGCTTGGTCGGGGCACCGTTGTTATGTCTGAAAGAGTGGTTTGGTGCTCTCGAGCTGTGCATATGATCGTTGAAGAAATCAGGACGGATTTTCTCAAGGAGCTTTATAGACTTTGCTGGTCAGGGAAGAGGAGGGAGTCTCGGTAGTCAAAAGTCTTTGTGGTGTAAAAACACGATGAAAGCATGTAATGGACTCAGGTATGAACATGGAAACTTTAAACATCGAGCACCGGGTGCAGTTAACTTTGTTTTGGAATACTTTTCAGTGTTGTGTGTGTGCTCGGTCGCTCAAGAGGTCATCTCTGTTCTGCATCTCAGGTACTCTATCAATGTGAGGGGAGGGTAATGCACGAGGAGACGGAAACGTGTCTGCCAGGAACGTTGGAGAGTGTACCATGTGCTGGAAGGGTGAGGACAGGATGCCATTAACTGAAGCGGGCTTGTGTATGTACTCGTAGGCTGGTCATGCTGTATGAACCAACACACTACTAATAGCCATTCCAGTATGAGTAAACTCATCCAAGCTGCAGGTACATGTACATAGATGATACCACAATTTTCACCTTGTTGAAAATCAGGTGGTGCTCCTGTGCTCCGGAAGCAAACGAAGATTATAAATGATGGGATAACCATGAAAGTGATAAATGATGGGACAACCGCACCCAATATTTCTGCTGTTCCACCTGTTCTCTGCCTTGTCCTGCCCAATCATCATTATAAGGGTCCAGTTTGACAAGTACTTTTAGATCTTGCACTGGAATCTCATTTTCGGCCTTAAACAGTAATCGACGGCGAGAGAATCTGGTAGTGCTATCTCTCGGGCTCATAGCATAATTACCCACAAGAAGTACCTATGATCATAGCCTTAAACAGCTTTAAAGAGTAAGTCGTACCACACCCAATCTGGTAGTGCTATCCTGGGACAATATCTATGGGAGTTTGCACGTGTTTTCGTCTTCCCATAATATTGTCATTTCCAGTAACGCTCTCTAAAACAGGAAGGAGGGAGAGTCCAGCTGAATGTCTGTTGCCAATATTTCTGCTGCTCGTTTCACAGGTTCCTGAGGGTGTGGTATGACTTACTCTTCCTTTTCTGTGTGTGTGTGTGTGTGTGTGTGCGTGTTATGTGTGTGTCTGTGAGAGAGAGAAGTGCGTTGCCTGTAATTGTGCTGTGCGCTGCCTGTGATTGCGCGGTGTGTTGCTTGATGCGTGGGATGGTGTCTTGTTTGGCTGTAGAGATTCGGAGGTGACAGTGGATCTGCACAGCTTTTGGATCCTAGTCAAGCTGCTGCTCAGGCTGCATTGTTGAAGACGGTGCAACCAACGTTGACTGTGTCCTCAGGAATCAGTGGATATGACTCTATGGGTTTGAGGTGAGTACCGCCATTTGAGAAGTGGGTTCATTTGAGCCCGCTTGCTGTGAAGAGTTGTGTAGCATGATAAGGACGAGGGTGATCACGCTGCTGCTGTTTGGCCGTGCTGAAATGCGCATTCTCGAAATACATTGACCCTGATTGTTGGCGAGAAGCGGAACACATATTCTGGAATGCATAAAAGGTAGCTGTTTATAGAAGTACGTTGGTTTTGATTGTTCGTGATAAGTGAAACAGATGCTATGAATGCTCTGCTTATATTCTGTCACGTTGAACTACACCTTCAGTCTGTGGGAACTTGCTTTCTCTGGTGACTGATGATGTGTGCAAGGTCTGGCGGATCATTGGCAGACAACTCGTGTGGAGGGGTCGCCGGCTCTCTGTTGTACCTGCAGTTCTTCATAGTATTTGTTTACAGGGCTGTAGTGTTCCCACCTTGTCTGGAGTGCTGTTTATCCTTGCTCGCTAGTTTTTCATAAATCTCGAGGTCATATTTGGTGGCCATGGCGAGAAATCAGTGTGCTAATCGTCCTCCTGTTTCCAGCCGCTGAATCAGCGGCCTGTCCGTGTATCCTTCTTTACTGGTTTACCCCCTTTCGGTAACACCTGCAGCTCTGGTTATGATCTTGCATTGGCTGATCTTGTGCTAAGGTGGAACTACTGGCTTATATGACTGTGCGTCATTTGTGGCAGGCATATACTTGCAAACGCTGGGCAGCAGGCAAGGAATCCTCAGCTCCTGTCAACAGCAGGGCTAGGACAGGTGGGAACTACTCTCAGACACACACACCAAGTGAGGGTGTGCACCTGGAGATAAGTCTGTCTCAAAACGAAGGAGATTTAATATTTGTCTGGTATTGGAGAATCATGTGTGTTTGATATGGTGGTGGCCTCTCTCCGCTTCTGTCCGGTGTCTATAAAAGAATGCCAAAAGGCTTGCATGCAGGGCTCGAGGGACTGTTACAATCATGGCTTTCTGCACAGTTATGCTAAGGAAGTTGACAATGCAAAGGCGTGCACTCTTAGATGGACGGTTAATTCACAGGTTCACGAACACAATGGTACGCACATATCTGGGAACCCGATCTGACACTCAAACACATATGCTTATGCCACGGTAGCAAACTTGTTTGCTTCTCCAGCTTTGTATGATGAAATCACTCCCTTGTCTCTTTGACAGCCTCTCGTGCATGCACCCTTGGCTTATTACTATGTGATGCATTGCAATATATACTCGCACATGGATGTAAGCATAGCTGAATCACGCATGGACTTCTGCACTGACCGTTTCCTTTGTTGGTTTATGTGGCATATCAATTCTCTCCTTGAATCCTCTGCGTTTGGTGTGGTGGTTAGGATATCAAGAATGAGATGCATCCCCTTCTAACACCTCAGGGGAGGTCTCCTGGTGCAGATGGAGGACTCTTTGGGATCGGAAATGTTGGCCAGACAAAGCCGAGCTTTCTCCCAGGTAAGTGTATGGGGTTGCAGTGCCGTTACTATTGTTGTGGATGAAATTGTGCAGATATTTGGGATAACATCGATCTTTTCAAAAAATGATGATTGGATTTGAAAACAGTGAGATTGAGGATTGTTAGCTGATTTGGAAGCTGTGATGTTTGTAGGTGTCAGATCTTAGTGGTTGAAGGTCTACGTAGGCAGCGTAATCGTTACCTGGATGTGCATATACCTGTTTCTCAGGACATGTGGCAGCACGTCAGGAGATTGGGTGTGTTGTGCTCAGCCATTTCACAAGGCTCGCTCCGTTTGCCAGAATCGGGGCATTTCACTTCTAACATGCTGGTGGCCTCCTGATGAACAAACTCTGTCTGAGCTTGCTAATCCACGTGCAACTGCTGAGCAGTTCCATGTAGCAGGGGCGCAGAGCACCTCCTGGGATGCCTGGCACTCCGTCGATCCTTGGGACAAACTAATGATGGTCTATTCGACTTCCGGTAATCGTCCGTACTCCCTCTATGCATGCCACTGGCAGTGGGGTTTGAGCTTGGGACAAAAGGTTCAGCCTGACCAGATAATACTGCCTCTTCGGTGTTGTGGCCCATTTTTCCAAGGCTCAACGCTTTGATTGCATCCCTACTCCCTCTGCATGCCACTGGCAGGGGGGTTTGAGATTGGGATGAAAGGCACAGTCTGACCACATAATACTAGAGCTTCTGTTCCAATTCACCCTCTTCAGAGTTGCGGCCCATTGTTCCAAGGCTTGGTGCTCTGACGGGGATGGTGCACAGTCTCAGGGAGTTGCGTCTACCCCATGTGGTTCTGCGATGGCTCATTCATACATCCACTCTGGGGAGTCCCTCTTGGAATTGTGGTCGAGATTTCAACTGCACTGCGCATAACATGAGATGTTCATTGGGTTCCTTCCTGCTGCATCTTACGATTGCCAAATAGGTGCCTGGGATTTCTTATGCCATTCTGGAAGGCTGCTATTTGCATGTTGGTGAAATGTCAAGGAAGGCATTAAGTATATTGTCAATTGTGTCACATTTTATGCAATACAGAATTCATTGTATGCTGTGTGGTTGTTAACATGACATCGACACGAAGTTAACCTTCAGCTGGCGATGTGACCCTTGTGTACATTGACCCTTGTTTGGGTCTTTGAATTTGTTAGTCTCAATCCCCCATCCCCACCACGCGTGCATTTGTGCTGAAGCTGTCGCATTCCTGCTGTTTGAATGCGCTCCAATTTGAGTCAGTTTTTGGAGTGTAATAGAGCATTTCTTGGAGCTGACTGTCCCTGGTTTGTTATTTTGCAGGGGTCAATGTAAATCCTGGTGGAAGCCCACAAATTCATCTGAAGAATGCATGGCCTCTTGGTGTAAGTATGGGACCACAACCTTGCTCCTTCTCTGGTTCCTGTGGTACTTCTTTGGTTACAGACTTCTTCTGTGATAATTCAGTGTTTACTTGCCGGGAGTAAGCATTCTCCATCATTTGCATGTAGGTTTTTTTGGTTCAACGGACCTTCCGTTTCGGCTTTGAGAACTGGATGTTGATTGTGATGGGGATGCTGTTGTGGGTGTGTGTGTGGGGGGTGTCGGGTTGGTTGTGTCTGCTGCCATTTATGTGTTTTGTTATGGGTGCAGAATATTGACCAACTGAGACCCGGAATCACTCCTCAAAGCCCAAGGATATTTCAGACAGGGAATATATCGCACATACTTACGCCACAGCAGCATCAGCTACTGGCACAGGCACATGCTCAACAGCATAACATATCCTCGGCAGCTGTTTTGAGCGAGTTAGAGGCGAAGAGGGTCAAACACTTGCTGAAAGGGGGTGGAGTTGGGAAGGATGGCTCAAATGGAGTCAACCAAGGGGTTGATGTAGCACAAGGTGTGGGCTCTCCTGGTTTGCAGGCTGCGTCACCGATGCAGAGGAGCTCGACAGACCAAGATCTATTCAAGGTACTGGAATGTATGTACTTTTTGTATTTCTCTTGGTCTTTGATTTATAGCATGCCTGTTTGTGACCTTTTGAGTTTGTTCCAAACTCGTTTATTTGTGTGCACTTGAACCGCTAGTACACGGCCCCAGCCTTGCAGAAAGTTTTTGTCGCCACAAGCAAAACTCGGAGGCGCCGCTCGGCCAGGCCCGCTGTTGAAAAAAAAAATCGGTGGGTCTGAAGTGGTGCAGGTTTCATGTTGACACCCACGGGCCGATATGTGGTGTACTGGTGCTCTAATGTCTGAGCAGCACGTCCTTCTCTCTCTTTCACCCTCTAGGCATGCGTCCTCCTTTTCGAGGACTGTATGGCAATCAAAGGGTGTCAGGGAATGTGTATGTTTCTGCTTGAAGCAATTCTGCATTCATCATGAATGTGAGAGCATCGTGTTTGGGCGCTTCTTTCTCTCTCTGAAAGGACTTAATGAGCATGTGCTCTGTAGCTGTGGTGTCGGGCATGGGAGCTTTGCAGGTATTAAACAAACTCTCTTGGTGATTGTTTGCAGTAGATTTATGGATTCTCTCAATTTCTTTGATTCCAGTGCTGATGGATGCAGATCACCAAGTGTGTGAGGAAATCATAGATGATTGCAAAAGATTAATGGTGTAGATTGGTCTTAGACACTGGGAGTATTGCTACTAAACCTTTCTGTTGGTTCAATGGCCTCCCACTGTTTGGTTCCCTTGAGCTGGTTTGACAAGGATTAGGAAACGTAGCCATAATCAATTGGAAGGTAGCTACTAGCCTACTAGAATTCAAAGCAAGATCAGGCGCCCCAAAGAGGGGTGAAGAGGTAGCAGTGCCTAAAAAAATTAAGGGGCAATATGTCCCCAAGCAACGGATACTATCTATATCAGCAAGTCATTCCTTTGTTCTCTTGTCAAGTGGGATGCTGGACCCACTTTCCAGCAGGTGTGGCTCGGAGCAACTGGATGAAATACTAGGAGAGGATGCTCTTATCACCTCTCGTAGCACTTTCCAGCAGGTGTCAAGATAGACTCGGGTTTTTTCTTTAACTAATGTTTTCTGTGTGCAGGATTGGCTCAGTGTTTTTTTCGTTTTAACACGAGCTCTTTCAGTCAGTCGGATCAGCGATGACGGGCAGGGCTTTTCTTGCCAAGAAATACAGTTTGTGGAAAAACATCGGTTGGCTGTGTAATCTTTTTCACGAAGTCAGGACTGGATGGGCACTTCTGAATCATTCCATTGTATGCACATGATCTCACTGTTTGTCTGTTGTGTTCAGTATCAGGTACAGAGGGGTGTGGGACCCCAACAAGTAACAGCTGCACAGCTGCAGGCAGCTCAGGCTCAGCAGCAAGCTGCACATCAGCAGGTACACCAGCAGGTGGCTGCCCAGCAACAGCAGCAACAGCAGCAGCAGCAGCAGCAGCAGCAACAGGATCGTATCGGTGGAGTTGAAGGGGTACATGTCACTCAGGCTTTCCGTGGAAATGATCAGGTTTACGGTGCGTTAGAGCCATCACCAAGCACAACGAGCACGGGAGCGCCAAAGGTACAAACGTGCGAAGGGGATACTGTCCCCGACATTATAATATGATTATAGTATGAAAAGTGGAGCAGCAGATCCCTGCATTTTTCCAATATGCAGGCTCCTCGATTGGATCAATGGCTAGATTGGATTTGTCTATCCGCTCCTTGTTTGCCAATCACTTCATAATTCTGCGTTCTATGCCAATGCAGATTGATTGATTAGCATATTTACTACCTTCTGAGTTTCCCGTAGTCTGTACAGCTCCACACCTTCACCTCCTAGCCTCTCTCATTTTTCTCATCTATTAGGACCATATGTTTTGCAAAGTTTGGAGGACTTCTCAAATAGCAAGTTGATTGTCTTCATGTTTGACTGCATGAGAAATGGATTTGTATGGACATTGTCTGTTGGACATCCTTGTTTCATTTTCAACTGATAGTCAGCAGTGATGATGTAGTGGCACTTGCTGTTGCCTGTGCCGCTATTTTCAACTTCAGTATGCCGGCTTTAATTGTTCTGTAATCTTCCCTGGAAAGGATACCATTATGTTTAAGAATAAGGAATTCCCAGAAATGGTATGGTATTTGACTCTTTTGCGTCCCGATATTGCTTCGAGTGACTCACTAGAACATCCGTCATCGGTATTGCCAATTGCTTCCAATATTTATTCTTCTGTTTCATTACGATTTGCAAATGTGGCTGCCTGCTGTTGTTATAAAACATTCCTTCCAGACCTCGTAAGCATGAGAGGGGTGCTCTGAAATACTGCTCTCTTCCATTTATATACCCCTCTGCTTTGTGAAGTAAGGAGTTTGACTGGTGATTATAACAGTGTTCTGTTCATGCAGGGGTGTGTGTGTGTGTGTGTGTGTGTGTGAGAGAGAGAGAGAGAGAGAGGTGGAGAGAACCCTTCAGAGATGATGTGCACATTGTAAATGCTGCTCTCGAGTCCTATCCTCATAGGAGGACTTTCTGCTCCTTTCTGGTTTAGTCTTTATTATGTGGCATGGTGATTGTTATGGTTGCATATAAAGGTTGCCTTTCCATCGTCCTAATTACAAATTGTTTGCTGTGCTGGCTCTATATTACAGAACTGTGAATGAATTATAGTTTGTCAACTAGCATGGTATCATGGGTTGGACGCGCCAAAGTTGCGTGGACTTCCTCCTTGTGCCCCTTACCCTAGAGTTATGTGTGGTTGTCCAAGTGTGTGCGTGTTCTTAATGAAGAGAAATTTTGCATTGAAATCAAATTCTGGTGGAACGGGACGTATAAGAGGGTCGGGATTTGGTATTTCCAGAATAACGGGATAACACATCTCGATGTTTTGGTTCTTATTTAGGGTAAACTAGAAGCAAACGAAGATCATGTGGCTGCCGACTCTTCGTAAGGGTACCCTTTGTGAGGGTGCTATGGGGGATACGTTGTGGGAGTACTACTGTATTTGTTGGTTTGGATAGCCTTGAAGGGCTGGTTCAGTGGAGGATATTAATTTTGCCAATTCTTTGCTGTTTGGTTTGTCAATTTGGAATTTCATATCTCGACGTGCACCAGGTGACTGCCATGAGGAAGAGGGGCCGTTATGTTTGGCTGCTGTTAATTTCATTGATTTGTCACCAAAACCGAGAATGGGAAGTAATCGGTAGTTGATGTGGCAATGGCATGTCGATGTAGGGCAACCATTCTGCACGTGGACAAGTTCCTATGTCGATCTGCATTGTTTGAGAGCATGGTGGGTCACTAGTTTTCTTTTCGCTGGGGTCTACGAACATTCTGAATGACTTGTCTCCTGTGTACTGGATTTGTGCAGTAGGCCGACTGTGTGTGCATACCTCTACATACTACATACGCAGACATCTGATGTCTGCGTCTGTGCATGGGTGGGAATGTGCATGGTGCTTGGGTTGCTGGAGAATCTGTGCATGGGGACTGCTGGTGGTAACAACCAGCGAAACTGGTACACATGACGTGTCAAAGTTGCTATGGCCAACGCCTGGGTACATTTTATGTCTGGTGTAACATGCTTAGCTACGTTTCAGGGATGATATGGCCTCTGAGTTGGGTCCGGTGCACACTCCCCGCTTGTGTAAGGTGGTGCCTTGTGCAATTTACATAGATTAGCTCCATCGTTCTGTTTGCTTTTTGTTGCAGGGCCATAAGGGTTGGGATGGGTTCTCTGAGTGAGTGATGGCCTCCCTGAGTCCCTGGCAATTTTGATCTAACTGTATTCTTGATATGGTTGGCAGTCTTCTGTGATGAGTCAGCAGAAGAGTGTTTCAAAGTCAACATCGGGAAGGAAACGCAAACAGCCAGCAACTTCGTCAGGCCCGGCCAACAGCACAGGCACAGCAAATACTGGGACAGGACCCTCCCCTACATCAGCCCCTTCTACGCCGCATACTCCTGGGGATGTCATGTCGATGAGTATGGGTGCTGTGAGTGGACTTCATCATTCGAGTAGCATGAGCAATAAGCACACCGCTCTTATGTTTGCAGCCGATGGAACAGGGGGCCTTACATCCCCAACCAATCAATTGGTGAGTGGCACCTTATGGTAACTACCTGAGGCTTGTCATGCCTTCCCTTCTGCCCATGTTTCCATTGCAGCCAGAAAAATCCGTGTGAAGGACGATGTGTTATCTTTCCCATTTGTGTTGCTGCTAAGGTGTGGGTAATTGTCCATGAAGACATGTCATAATGTCCAACCGGCTGAGCAGGCTGGRMSGKYYTTKSCYKGGGGGTTTCCGTGTGAAGGACGATGTGTTATCTTTCCCATTTGTGTTGCTGCTAAGGTGTGGGTAATTGTCCATGAAGAYATGTCATAATGTCCAACCGGCTGAGCAGGCTGGGCACGGTCTTTTCCTGGCGGGTTTGAAAGTGCCCTCGATGTTGTATTTTTTTTTCAGATGGCGGATTTGAATTGTGCTAAGCAAGACTGTGCAGAATCCGTTGTCCTTCTCCATGGAACAGTATGTCAAGTCTGAGATTTGTTGCGAGAGGGTTGCTTCTGTCTGAAATGTAAGATACTGAGTTTGGTTCCTCAAATTTTGCACAGGTTGCAACGCTGGGTACATCTACTACCTTCTATTAAAGTTCTTCCGGTTGGGTGTAATGGTATGACCTACCCTGACCAGATTCTGCCCATCTGTGAGATGGACCGTCCGATAAGCAGCGGATTTTCGGCCTCTATCAATGGCGGGGCTGAAAACCCTACTGAAAAAAAGGAACTACGGGAAGTGCGACTATCTCACCGTGAAAAAAAGAAAACAAAAGGTGAATGAACGCTCCATGTCGTGATGGGCCTCAGTGGATCACCCAACAGCTGTCACAATCCCCAAAAGGTGGAAAAAGGGGAGCGCAAAAAAAAAGAAGAAAACGACCTCCAGATACTTTGCCTTGATGCACCACTGACCAAATTTGTTGGTCGGTGGTGCGTCGAGGCCCAGTATCTGAAGGCCGTTTCGCTTTTCTTTTCTTTTCTGTTTCGCTCTTGTTTAGTGGTGCGTCGAGGCCCAGTATGCGGAGGTTGTTTTTTTTTTCTTTTTTTCTTTTTTTTTGGTTTTGTTTCACTCTGTTCTTTTTTTGCCTTTTGGGGGTAGTGGCTATGCGCCTCGCCGCATCACTCACCAAATGTGCAAAGTGAGAATGAATCTTCCGCTAGAGCACACAAAGATACACCACTGTAATTTTTGCCGTTTGGGCTGTTGGTGAGTGATGCAGCTTTAGTCCTTTTGTGTGTGGGGGTGGGGTGGGGGGGGAGGGGAGAGGACAGCCTGGGGATACCATCACCGACTGACTGGTGGCCTGGGGATACCATCACCGACTGACTGGTGGCCTGGGGATACCATCACTGAACTGACTGGTGGCAGTGCCCCACTTGGGGGGGATGTTTAGTTCAATTTTTTTATGTGGTCATGCTGTGGCCGTGAGATTTTCAGATGGGATGGAAGGGACCCGTGGATACTTGAAACAAGAACTAAACCCTCCCAAATGGGGCACTGCTGCGGCTCCTCGGATGGCATATGGCCACGGCTGTTTGAACCTGTGTCTGGTTGCATTCAAACAGCCTTAACGGGTGCGAGGCTTTCTCTCCTCTATCTGTCTGTGTGCCTGCGGTGTTGTGCTTGAAGATCCGGATAGTTCGTGCAGTGTGGCGAAGTGCGCCCTCTCTCCCTCCCTCCCTCGTCCCTCGTCCCTCGTCCCTCGATCCCTTGTCCCTCGATCAGAGGTGTTGTCCATGAGGAAGTGGAGAGTTGCTGACACTTGCCTAAAAGTGAAATAGGTGGGTTTCCTAGCGTGGAGACGTGCACCCTCTCTGTCTCTCTCTCTGCCCCTCATACCTCCTCCCTCCTCCCTCCCTCCATCCTTCCATTCGTTCAGGGCTGCAACTCCATTTTTTGCAGGGGTGATATGTCGCAAGTTAGACAGGATTTGTGCAGAACAACTATCAGACGGGGATCATGCTGTGAATGTGGGAGGTCAAGTGTCTGGTTATGCGGGCAGGAGTAAGACGCCATCTAATTTTTGAGGGGGAGGGTTGGGGTAGCATGAGAAAGACGAAGGGGGAGGGTCAGGATGTGGGATCAGGAGGAGAGGGTCAGGATTTGGCCAGTCAGGATTGGTAAGTTTGGGGATGTTAAGGAGGTTGTGCAGGGAGAAGACGTCAAGGAGGGCCCTGAAGTAAATGAGAGGAGGATGTAGGCCGGGTCCCTAATTTGCAATGAAGGGGATAGGCATTGCGGATTGGGAGGGTGTCTGTCAGGATGTGGCATTGAGACGAGGAGAAGGTCGGAATGTCAGCCACTCACAGTGAGGATGCAGGAACAAATGAGGCGAAGGAGAAAGGATGCCGAGCCAAGTGTGAGGAATGCAGGTCGTGTACGGGGATCTGGACAAGGTGGGGAAGAAGATATTGCAAGGAGGGTAGAAGGGCTCTGCATGGAGTGAGGGGGAACAGGTTGCGAGGAAAGGAGAGAGCCGGATAATGATGAAGGGCCTGAATCACGAGAGGGATAGGGTAAATGTGGATATGCAGGTGATGGAGATAGCAATGAAGATAGAGTGACAGAGAGAGGAAGAGAGGAAAGGGCATGCGAGATCCGCAGGGGCCACATCGAGTATTGGAGGGGCAGGAGCTCAAAGATGATCCCAAACGGAGGAGAGGCTTGGAGAGAGATGGAAATATAGAGGTCACGGGCACAGCACAAGGAGAGAGGAGGATGGGGAAATGTGGATTGCTGGGGGGAAGGTTGGGAAGGGGGATGGAGGGCACAAGTTGAAAGATGGAATTGAACAGGCGGAAGGGACGCCACGGATGAGGAAGAAAGACAAATTCCAGCAGATAGGGAAGACTGAGTGTCTGTGTGTGTGTGAGGGAGAGAGAGAGGGGGGGGGGAGAGAGAGAGGTGGCAGGAGGTGCATTTGGGTGTCGTTAACGATGCAGCGCATCCCCCTGGAGTGAGAGAGAGGGGGATGCAAAGAGGAGAATACCAAGAAAATGGGAAAGTGAGGGAGGAAGAGATGGTGAGAGGGACAGGGTAAACGGAGAAGGGGTGGGGAGTGCATGAGTGGGCATTGGGCTGTCATTAATGACTGTCCGCATTCCCCTGGAGTGAGAGAGAGGGATTCAAAGAGGAAAATAGCGAGAGAACAGGAAAGCAAAGGAGAAAGAGATGGTCAGAGGGACAGGTCAGAGAGAGGGGCGGGGATTGCATAAGAGGGCATTGGACTTTCTTTAATGGAAGGGGAAGAATTGCAAGAGAACGGGAAAGTGAGGGAGGAAGAGATGGCGAGAGGGACCGGGCAGAGAGATCGTAGTTGTATAGTTCTCTTTGGGCCAACATCTTCTCTTCATCGGGGCATACCCGTTTCGCTCTAGATGATTTATATAAAAAAAGGGAAAGATGATGATGTGATATTACTTTGTCCTTCGAGTGCTTCTTCTTTATCATGTACCTTTCTTTGGTTTTTGTTTGTGTTACTGCTGTGGTGTCGTCTTCTCACATCTGCAGGTCGTCGTGTCACTCTATTGCTTTCATCTCTTTTTCTTTTTGTTTATGTAGATTTTGATCTCCTTTCTACTGGTGGGGATGTTGTCACACTGGTTGCATTGCTCCTCTTTCATATTTTGCACGTGCCGAACTGCAAATGCTCATCGGCTCTGATTTTAATGAAGTCACAATATTCGTCAGTTCCGCTCAGTGGAGCCTTCTTCCACTCATCGAGGTGATGAATGGATTGAATAATCTTGGTGAAAAACGAGAGTTCATTGGTTGATTTTTCCGTTTCTGTTCTTCATGCGCACGACCTTTTCCGTTTCTGTTCTTCATGCGCACGACCATCATTGAGTGAAGTATATAATCCACGGACATGCTAGTGAAGTGAGCCAAGTACTCGTCAAGTTCAACTTGCATATGTCAATGAACATTTACATGAGAGTTCACACGTGAGAAGCCAAATCGAGATGCAATCAACACTTGAAGATGCCGTCTCCAATGTTATTATCAACATACAAGAATTTTCGTCTCCAGCGGCTCTGCCGAACACACACACAGAACGGGTCTCAACCGGATAGCGGCTACGGCTTCTCCCTGCTCTCTCTCTCTCTCTCTTTTACTTGACTCGCTCTGCCTCACTTTCTCTCTCGTCTCTTTCTCTCTCTACCCTGGATTGTTACCCTGGATACGCACTCAGGTTGCTCACACCTCGGCGGCCCTGGATCGTTACCCTGGATACACCCACTCAGGTTGCTCACACATCGGTGGCTATGGCCGCCGTCCTCCTTCTCTTCGCCTAGCCTAGCTATGGAGTCTCTCTCAAGCGCTCTCTTCTTCTTCAGGTTCACAGTGCCCAAGTTGCCTTAACACACAAGCAGCAGCAGCACTTCCGCATCTTGCAACTGAACAAGTCATGATCCGCTGCACTGTTGCAGCTAAATATAGGACTTGGCTTGGCTTGGCTTGGCTTGCTTCAGATGGGTACCGGTCGGCCACGGCCTCTCTGCTGCAAACATTTTGTCGGTCTGGTAGCTTCTTTCTGGACTTTTCTGGGACATCCTGCAAAATTGGACTTGGGACTGTTGGACTGGACTGGACGCTTCTGGCCTTTTCTTGTCGGGGAGCGACCTACGGCGGTTCGGTACCGACACCTACTGACCTACCACGCTTTGCCCTCACCCTACGGCCTACCATACGGGACAGCCCTGGGACTTGGGACTTGTCGGCACCCTGGGGCCGGGACTGGGTGTCTACAGCATGAATCCTTTCACTAGACACAGCGTCAGATTTTATCGGCTTGGGGCATTCACCCATCTGCTGCAAACACTTTGTCGGTCTGGTAGCTTCTGGACTTTTCTGGGACATCCTGCAAAAGTGGACTTGGGACTGTTGGACTGGACTGGACGCTTCTGGGCTTTTCTTGTCGGGGATCGACCTACGACACTTCGGTACCGAGACCTACTGACCTACGCTGCTTTGCCCTCGAGACCCTACGGCCCACTCTATGGGACAGCCCTGGGGGGGGTAAAGACCTGGTGCATCCCTGGCAAAATAAAATCAGAAAAGATGAACACAAGGAAAACGAGACTTGGGAAAATATAAGAGGGCACCAATGCGGTGGAAAATGAAATGCTTGCTGCTGCGTGGGTGCTGGGGTCCTGAACTCGGCTTCATGGTGCCTGCTTGACCATCAGAAAGGGCCTGAAATAACCCTGGGCAGTTTCCCGATCACTTCATTCTTTGTTTGTGATAAATTGGTCCGGTCCAGCTGGCGCCGCTTGGTTGCCCTGCCAGGTGGACCTGCAGGGTCCAGGCTGCCCAGATCAGAATATACTGCTGAAGTTTGTCTCCCTCTGGGGAGCGTCTCAATCCTGTTGTTAAGGTCGGTGTTCTATGTGCCAATCAGGCTATCATTCTGGGTATGGGTTCTCACCCAATGGTATTGTATGTGCCAATCAGGCTATTATTCTGGCTATGATTTCTCCCATAATGAATTTCTGGTTTACGTTTGTGTATGAGGCCGTTCTTGGACGTTGGCAGGGAACTTGGTAGTCTGTGTGTAAAACCCAATATTTGAAAAACAGTTGATTGTCGACAGTGGTGATGGTGTCAGCCTCCCTCAGAATGGTGATTTTACACCTTTCCCTTTCTGATCCCTCGTGCATTCATGATTGGTTAGTGGTAATCGGTATTTGCTCAGGATGAATACCATTTCTGACAAATGGCAGAGAGCTGCTATCTTTGTATCAAGAGTGGTAGCAATACCCGGTCGGGATGAATACTGTTTCTGACAAATGGCCTTTCTGCTGATGTTGTCTGTCTGCGACAGAACGATGATAGGTTTGCAGAAGATGCGTCATTGGATGACAATGTTGAATCCTTCCTGTCGGCAGAGGAGGCAGATCCAAGGGACTCGCTATTTGGAAACAGCAAAAGAAGCCCTGCAGGGCACAACATGGATATTGCCAAAGGTATGACAGGTGGGTCCTGATGGCTGTCTGTGCCTCGTGAAAGAGTTGAAAAGAACTGAACGAGGCAGGTGAGGCTGCCTCTTTTGAAAGAGTCGAAAAGAACTGGTTGAGGCATATGAGGCTGCCTTTCTGTTGTTGTAAGACTGGATTTCTCTGGTGAAGATCATGGCATATCGGCTCAAGGAAATCCTGATTGTTTGCGTGGAGAGGATGATGCTTTTCCTTCTCTTTGACCTCTAAAGTCTGTCATCACTCAAGCTTAGCCTGCTGGCAACACTCATGAATTGTTCTTTCCAAATGTTTGATTCTCAGGCTCCCAGCTGCATGCATTTTCCCCATTGCTTTGTGTGCTTCTCTTCATCTAAAGCACTGCTGTTCTTTTCTTAGGCTCTCAGTTTACATTACTTGTAAACTTTCGGAACTGTTCTGTGCTGTTCTGTTCTGTTCTGTTCTGTGCACATATTCTTTCCTTCCCGGATGAGGGCCGACACGAGGTGTACTGACGAGACAGTATCGAATTGCATTCAGGATGGATGCACTTGTTGTTGGACGTACAGGAGTTGCAGTGATTTTTCACTCTGATATACCTACTAAGTGGCACTGGCCCTGGGTTCATGGTGCTGGCTGATGCGTTTCTCGATTTGTTGTCACCCTTGCCCAGGGGCCCTCGGAATCTTCTCCATATCGTTCCAGTAACGGATGTCCCGAAGGACGGGTGCTGGCTGATGTGATGTGGCTCTCGTTTCTGTGCTTAATTGATTTGTGTCCCTGCTGAATTGATTGGTGTCTCTGCTTGTCTGTGCCATATAATCAAACAGAGGTATTGACCGGACTAAGCTCCAACTGATGTGATGTGGCTCTCGTTTTTGTGCTGAATTGATTTGTGTCCCTGCTGAATTGATTGGTGTCTCTGCTTGTCTGTGCCATATAATCAAACAGAGGTATTGACCGGACTAAGCTCCAACTGTCAGGACAGGATTGCGAGTAAGCCATAGGGGCCTCTTAATGCCACAATTAGAAAGGTAGATGACAGTGAGAAATAAAAAGAATCAAGGCAGCTGGTAGGAATAAATAAAAAGAACAGAAGTGCTGGTAGGAATAAATAAAAAGAGGAACAGAAGTGCTGGTAGGAATAAATAAAAATAACAAAAGCAGCTGGTAGAGTGTGCTCTTTCTGGAATAGAACATGTGATCGAGGGGCGTGTGCCTCTGTGCGAGAGAGGATCAGTTGTTTATCGATGTCGCGTGTGCTCCATGGAGTGAGTGGTACATGTGATCGAGGGGCGTGTGCCTCTGTGCGAGAGAGGATCAGTTGTTTATTGATGTCGCGTGTGCTCGAGTGCAACATTGTGACTGCGGCATGAATCAAACCGACAGAGGGGAGGAAGGTAGTTGCATTTGACCCCTGACCGTTGCTTCTGCCACAGCCTACCAATCTAATATATGCTGAATTGCAGGCGTGATTTGTGCAAGGCTTGCGGATGTTTGACATCTTTTACTTATTTTGAGCTACAGGGATCACCTGCATTATTGCTTATAAGTCAGCCGGTCTTTTTTGTTGCATGTGATATGCGACTAGCTTCGCGTGCCAAGTGCGGTTGCGATGTATCTATTGCATGCAGAATCACACTCCTGATGTGTTCAAGGATTGCGGATAAAAGATAGCTTGTACTTGTTATGAGCTCCAGCGATTAACTGCCTGTTACTTGTCAAGTGCTTATAAGGCACTATGTCTGCTTGCTGCATGCTGGATTCCAAGCGGGGTGTGTACTAGGATTGCTTACATGAATGAGAAAACCTATGCTTGTCACATGTTGCACATGGACATAGAGCATGCCAATTCGTACCACGTCGGAACCATTTGGCAACTCCTTGGTTGGTGAACGTTTTTGGGATTTCCTCTTGGAGTCGTCTTTGCTGTGAATGCAATTGTATGCAGGCAATGTGATTACTTAAAAGGCTAGATGGCAGGGGTCTCTGCCCAGCCATCATTTTCTGTCTTAGCCGTTTTTTATTTCTTGCTTCTTGCCTGCTTTCCACTGTAAAATCTGTTGAGGTTTCTGCAGCATTGTCATATATGCACACTGAGCAGAGCCAATTGCTTCAGGTTTTTCCTTCAAGGAGGTGCAGACTCTTTCTGGGAGTGCGAACAAAGTGGTCTGCTGTCACTTCTCCCAGGATGGCAAGATGCTAGCTAGCGCGGGGCATGACAAGAAGGTAGGTTTCAATCTTCTGAGAACAGCTTAATGAGGCTCTTTCTTTACCTCTGTTCTATCTTGGATTCTAAATGATAGAATTCCCTTTGATAACACACTGTGCGTCAGCCTACTGTGAAGTTCTGTCCGAATGGACACTGTGCGTCAGCTCAGCTCACGCTGAAGCTCTTATCTATGTTAAGAGTCAATAGAGTGCAGCAGCTAAAGGTGAGGCTTTTGACTATGCAAGGACTAGATCTCATAAGTCGGTTCAACGCCCTGGTCAGATGTGTTGCTGAAGCTGAGACTACCGTCTTTCGTAAGGAGTAGATAGCATGCGTCAGTATAAGCCGAGGCTAATGTGACAGCTTGAGGTCCATGATCTGATTCTATATATTGGACTGGATGGTGGGAATTGGTGATTGATTGTATGAAATAGGATCCGGTCCATGATGTGATTTTATATATTGGAACTCAGGGGTCTTGTTCTCCTGCGGGATGGCAAACGTGATGGTTCTTCTGTTCGTCTTTTCTTTGCACTGGTGAGTCGTGGTGACTGAATTCTGGCGAGCTTTTCTCTCTGTCGTTTTGAAAACACGAATGGTCCCCAATTTCGCGCTGGGTTGTATGTTTTGTTCCATCAAGGTACAATGCTGAAGTTGGTGACCTCTTATTATGCAATGCCAAGATGATGTTCACTTGTCATCATAAAAGGAACATTTTTGGAGAGCTGCTCTAATAATCTCCCGTGAGTAAGGCAACTGGAAGGATTTCAGCAGTTGCTGTTGCATACGCCTTTTGCAATGCAATCTGTGCTGGTATTTACATGAAATATCTTGGGCTATTGGAGCATCTTCATTTGGATATGGGACTGGTTTAAACACACACATGGTTCACACACACACCCACACCCACACACACACTGAGAGAGAGAGAGAGAGAGAGAGAGAGAGAGGGTGGGGGTGGGGGAAGAGTTAGGATCACTTTGTGTGGTATGGTTTTCTTATCTGTGTAGCACCAAAACTCCTTGCTTGTATGTGCAGGTGATCTTATGGGGAATGGAGCAAGGGAAAGAAACGTTTGAGTTCAAACACTCCTGGGATGAGCATACAAACTTGATCACTGATGTCCGGTTCAGTCCCAATTCGTCCAAATTTGCTACGTCATCGTTTGACAAAACTGTACGAGTATGGGACCCAAATAATGTAAGTATTTACACCCGTTCGCATTATCAGCCACCTCACTGTGATGAAGTTGCCATTGACTGCTCTTGTGTTTTCGTGGGACAAGCACTTGGCAATGTAGTGTCGTGCTTTTGACCTGTCCGTTTGTTTTTGTCCAGTAGATGACAACCCTCAAAAGACGGTTTACATTATTCATGAATAATATACTCACATGGAGCACTGTAACAGTGCTGGAGAACTAAAGAGGCTGGAGATTAAAGTTGTTGCCATTGGTTTCCTTCCGGGATGTTCTGGACTTCCTTTTGGGATGTTTCACAATCGGCTACCATGCATCTCGGAACGAGTGGCCGACTTCATGCTCGGCTGCCAAGCACCTTTCTAGTAAACTTTTGGATCAAGAGGTGGTCTTTTGAACTCCTGGAAGCTGCTGCACTTCTCATCTGGTGTCTGTGGCCGACAGAGATTGTGAATGTGGTCTGCCAGGCTATATGATTCGGGGTTTGGTTTCCAGTCGACATGCATGCCCTGCCAGGTCTGAGAAAGAGAGTGAGCATCTCAGCCTTGCGTCAGCAAACAGTGCCAAACAAGATAAATGGTAGAAGACTTCAACTGGACGTTGATTGAAAGGGTTGAACTATGTGATATAGTAACCAGCGTTATTAGTTGCTTTTATTATATACGTTTTGTGAAAGTCATGTATTTTGAAACACCTAAAACATGGATTTTCTATAAACCAATGGATTGTGAAAAGTCTTTATTGCTTGCTATTACTCTCTTTTTTATCACTTTTTTTTTCTTATATCCTTCTCACTTGCTGCAATTTGCCTGTTGCTCAAGATCAATTCACAATAGCAAGCGCTGGTGTCTTGACTTCTTGCATATTTGGACTTGTGCAGGCAAACTACTCAGTCGTAAGCTTGGAGGCACCGCACACCGCAGCTGTAATGTCCCTGGATTTTGTAAATGATGATGCGCTGGTGACTTGTGACAGTGACAGTGAGATGAGATACTGGAACTTCAGCCAGAATGTTTGCCAGAGATTAGTCAAGTCGGTAAGTTTCCAACACTTTCTTCTCACTGGAGAGGGGTTTTACAAAGTCTCTCAAATGTATGCGCATCTCTCTCTCAAATGTATGCGCATCTCTCTCTCAAATGTATGCACATCTCTCTCTCAAATGTATGCGCATCTCTCTCAAATGTATGCGCATCTCTCTCAAATGTATGCGCCTCTCTCTCAAATGTATGCGCATCTCTCTCAAATGTATGCGCATCTGCTTGGTCCTTCTACCTTGACAGCCAATAAAGTGTTATGTTGAAAGTCACTTCTTTGCTGCAATCGTTTTACTCAGGAGCCTCTGTGGAAAATGGTGATACGACCTGTGGAATTTCGTCCAGCAGACACCGTTTTGAAACTAAATTGTTTGAGTGGTTTTCCTTTCCAGCAACTGTTTTTCATACAGCCTCGCTCCCGAATCATTTCCGTGTTCTTTTGCTTGGCTTTGGACTGATCATTAGTCGTTCCAGGCATTGTGACTATTGACCATCATGTTGTAGCTGGTAGCAGCTAGTGATGGAGAGAGAGAGAGAGAGAGAGAGAGAGAGAGAGAGAGATTTTGCCTCCACATGCACATCCTAACACCTGTGCACAAGTAGAGGATTCTCGCGTGGTTTGAATGAGTGATTTTGAATCAGTTTTGCAAGGTGGGGAAGAGTGGGTGCCAATGGAGAGAAGAAGTGTGCATGCAATGGAGTGGAAGGGGGGGGTTTTGAGGGGTTCACAAAGATGCTTAGCACTATTTTATCGAGGTTGAGAAGTAGTTAGTGGGTGGCATGATGTTTTCCTCGTGAAGGGGGGGTTCCAGTGTGAATGTTATGGAGGGGGCCCACCCTTCTATGTTATCGTGGGCATGATGTGTCCTCATGAAGGGGGGGTTCCAGTGGATGCAAAACAGAGTCGGAGTGTTGATAGAAGTGTCGAGAGGTTGGAGTGTGCCCTACACATGGGGTTGGAGTGGATCTTGAAGGGGGATTTCACAATGCCACGTGCACAAGGGCAGGGAGGGGGCCCACCGATGGTCTGGAGGGGGGGGCGGGGGAGGTTGCAATTGCCACCAGGGATGGGGGGGTTGGAGGGCGGGGGGAGTGGAGTGGAGGATGCTTGAATATGCTTGATGGGGAAAGGGATGGTTTAGGGCTTTTGAAATATGGCTTTCTGGATGACGTTTGGGTTGGCAAGCGCTTGGAAACCTGCTCTACAGGCAAAGGCGAGGATAGAGTTGCAAGGTGTCTTGGATGGATTGGACAGGCGGAGGGGGAGTGGAGTGGAGGATGCTTGAATATGCTTGATGGGGAAAGGGATGGTTGAGGGCTTTTGAAATATGGCTTTCTGGATGACGTTCGGGTTGGCAAGCGCTTGGAAACCTGCTTTACAGGCAAAGGCGAGGATAGAGTTGCAAGGTGTCTTGGATGGATTGGACAGGTGGAGGGAAGTCTTGAGTAGGTTGACCATTGTGTACGGGGAATGGAGAGGGGAAGGGTGTGTGGAGCCAGGATGCATCTTATGCTGGTGGGTGGCAAAGTGATGAGGTAGATCACATGGTGCTCTGCTTTTACGGGGACCTTATTCTTCACTGGTGTTACCCTGCAAAGGAGTACAGTGTATTAGAACAGGTGGGCAGTGCAGTAAAGGGAGCTCCAAAGTGTCCTTCGGGATATCCGTTATAATTGGAATGATACAGAGAAGATTAGAATGGCCCCTGCGCAAGAAAGAAAAAGGGGGGGCTCCGAAGTCCTTTGGTAGGGATGGGGAATGTTAGGGGGGGTTGCAACTTCCGCTCAAGTTGGGAAAAGGACAAATGTAAGGTAGGGGATGGGAAATGTTGAGTGTGGTGAGGGCGTATTCCGACGTTGGGAAAGAGAGAGAGGAGTGTGAACTCTGTATGTGATGTATGGGGAGGGGGAGAAAGAGTGTGTGATTCTGTGTAAATGTGGCTGTGCATATTTGATTTTAGCAAATGAGCAGTGACGAAGTATGGCTGATGTGCTTGAAGAAGGGCATAAAGAAAATTAGTGATGACGTTACACCATGTTCCTTGAAGGCAAAGCTGCAACAGGTCTAATATCTCCTGTTTTCTTATTCCAGCATCCAGGCTCGGCGTCTGTCTAGTTCATGTTGAGTTGACGATGGAAAAGGCGATTGTTAGACTCCAAGCTGGTTTCCATATATAACTCTCATCACTTCTGTTTTGGGTTGCAGGTTGCATCTACACAAGTTCGGTTTCAACCGAGCTCTGGAGGCACAAGGAAATTGCTCGCAGCTGTGCAAGAATCTGTAGTTGCGATTCTTGATCTTGAAACGGAAGGGCATCTAGCGACGCTCAAGGTAAGTGCTTGTTATGCGTAATGCACTTCATGTGTGGTGTCTGTTGGTGCCCGGAATTGCGAGGGCTTCATCTTGCTTATGTATAGGCCAACCCCCTAGCGTCCTTTGTCGGACATTGGTGTAAAATTTGCGATGAGGTGTGGAGACTGCAATAAGTCTGTCTGCGAGTGATTGAATGCTATCCTTGTGCTGTTCAGGGAAGAAGTGTGCTCCTGGTTGATGAAAAGTGCTTGGAGGTATTGACATGTTGTGAAACTGTGTACCTGCCCACTGACTGAATGGTTCATACATGTGACCGTCGATAAACGCATAATTGCGGACCAATGGATCGAGATCTTTAGTACAACGATGACAGGGCCTTTTACCCCCTTGATTTATTTTCTTTGTTTTTAGGAAACATTTGTGAAATTGTGTTTTTTTTTTTTTGTCTTGTGTTCTCTGCAGAGGCCAAACATTAAGAGTGTACACTCGGTCTGCTGGAATGCAACGGGAGATTGCCTTGCAGCAGTTAGTGAGGATGGTGTGAGGATATGGTCAGTCGGTTCTTCGGGGCTCAACGGAGAGCTGGTTCACGAGTTAATGAGTAGCAGTGCGAACAAGTACCATTCTTGCGTCTTTCACCCTACATACCAGTCGTTGCTGGTTATTGGCTGCTATCAGGTGAGGAATATTCTGGAGCATACCAAGCTTTCCATCCACTGGCTTATTTCCTCTTTATATTCTGGAGCAACTAAGCTTTCCATCCACTGGCTTATTTCCTCTTTATGTCCATCTGTGCCTCACATCGTGTTCCTGTTTTTAAAAAAACAAGTATTTGAAAGCTGCTTTCGTTTGGTGGATACTTTGAGTCCCTGCTTTGGTTTTGTGGATACTTCGAGTCCCTGCCAGTTGTCTTTGGTTTGGTAGTTAATAACCTCTTGCAATAACAAAAAGATGTTTAGTAGTTTATCTGGCGTATATTCAATGTATGCACTATGCTAAGCACAGGCAGCACTGAATGGTGAAAGAGGAAAAGGAGCGGGAAAAGCACATAAAAGAAACACGAGCTACATTTTCAAACGGCCCATCCACCATTTGCCTGTCTGGGTCTTTCGAAATGAGAAAAATGGCTGAGGAGGCGAAGCACTAGGCCGTTTTCCCGGGCGCCCGGGCACCCAAGTTCTGGAAACACGCCCGGGTGACTGGCCGGGCATGATCCCCGGGCGGACCCAGGACCCATCAGAATTCCTCACGTCTCAAGGTAAAAAAGAGAATAAACGAATCACACCAAGCCACCCCCCTTTAAACCCCTGTAGCCACTTCAAAAACGATTTATACCCCACTTGCGCCGCCCCCCCCCCCCC